AAAGATTAAAAAATACATCGTTTTCCTAAAAAAGCAAAATGAGCGTTATACATAGAGTCCAGTCAGTAAGGTGGCTATAACATTGCCCTACAAGACCGGTCATCTACAAGCAGGAAACGGCATGCACAACGAAAGCGAACTGTTAATGAAAATGATCTGCGCTTCTTAAGCACCAGCAAAATTAACAGTAACCTTATTAATGCGCACGGTGGGCATCTAAGAAGCATCAGCACCGTTCGCACAAGAATCCATCGAGTCACAATGCAAGAGAACCCCGAAGTTACAAAGAAGTCGTTCCGTACAAACACTGCACACTTCACTGGCTGTTCGATAGGCTAATGATGAGCTAGAATGTGCCTGAGTTACAATTAGAATTCGACCATCTGTTCGGATGACAACAAAAGATCTGAGTTGTGAATTTTTTATAAACGTTGTTTGTGCATAATGAAGCCTTCAGTATTGGACGATGGAGCGGCTTCGCTTATCGCAACAATTTAAAGACGTGGTAAACTAATACTGAATAAATGTGCAACATTAGAGACCATCAGGGAACAATTTTCTCAAACAAGTTCGATGGCATAAGTTTGCGATTAGCCAGTGAGTGGTAGGTCCTGGATGTCTCGTTTTCTTAAGATTGATTGTTGTTTGAAGCTGACAAAACAGCAACATTAGGCCAAAATGACATGTCCAAAAAATATTTCTTCAACGTTCGTTCTGTTCCAGGTGAAAAAGCAAAAACGATGCATTCTTACAGTGTTCTGTAGACGAGACGGGATTCGCGACTGCAGCACGTTGTCCAGCTCCTGTTGCACCTTGTTCGCGTTCGAATACAACGGCTTCTAAAAGTGAATGATGACGGTCAGTGTATATCGCCAACTGAAAGCCAGCAAAAAATGCTCACTTTAATGAACGACGGTTTGAGCGGCACGGTCGGCTTTTTCGCGATCGCTGGTCGGTCAATTTTCGGACTTGTACTGGCAGTCTCTTCGAGTAGCCGGTGACCCCGATCCGCCGACGAACCTCGCAGCGCTTCTGCCATGGCCATGTCAGTCGGTATGGGAGACGGCGCATACTCTAAACGGCAAGCCGAGTGCACATTTAAATGCCAGCCTAACAATCATCACAAAATACGTACTGTTATCAGTCAACCTATACGTCCATGACTTACCGAAGTCGCAGTGGGAAATCAGACCGGGATGAATATCATAGACTTACCACGACCGAGACCCTCGTATTTTCGAGAGACGCTGATGCATGTGGACCAGTTCAAGTATTCCAAAAAAGCAAGCGTTCTTTGGCAATGGACAGAACTACATACAAATAAACAAACGAGACGCTGTCACGCGAGCGCTGTAATGAGATAGTTAAATTGGTTTGTGTGGATGGAAAAGGAGTCAAAAAATAGAAGCCACATTTCTTAAACAATGCCTACGCCCTTGTCCTCATCTACGGTCTGTGTGTTACGAAGACGTGCAATCATAGATACAAATAGTAAAAATGACTTCTTCGAAGCATACCAGTGCATTCAAGCTCGGTAGGGTACAAAACATGAAAATCCGTGATTCTCCTACTGGTGAACCGTTTCTGAAATCCAGAAATCACGAATGCGTTATATTTTGCAAATTATCAGAATGTCGGAGGAAGGATTCTCTCCGTAAAGCCATGAAGGAGGAGGTGAACGGACAGTCCTAGGGCATATGGCTCATGTATAAGCCAAGGTTAAAATTTGGCGTTTCAGAGCCTTGAAATGATAGGCAGACGATCGGAAACGCTGAGAAAGCATCCTGAAGTAGTCGGTCAACGATGCAACGGGTAACTAGGGAATGATGAAAGACGCATTCACGTCTATATGGCGCAAATCCTTTACGAAAGAAAACATTCTGAGTACAATTCTGTAAAGAATGAAAACTCTGGAAAAGGTAACCGTGCACATTCATCTACGCAGATGGTATTGCGACGCTTAGCTGGTAAGCCGTGAAAATGAATCGACAAGAGCAATTTACATCAAAGGGCACAAGCCTGTAAAAAAATACATTCGTCAAGCGTTTGCTTGCTGGCCTTAGCTGAAAGCACACGCGAACATTTGACCCAGTGATGAACCGTGGCAGTTACAACAAGAGCACGAGACACTGTACACGTTTCAAGAAAATCACCTTCGTTCGAATTCAGCGAGTCCCATTTTTCCAGGTCATGCAGCGAAAGTGCCGATCTTGCCGGCGGTGATTCAGGACCAGTGGTACGGTTCGAGTTCAGTACTAACTCGGACTTGGAGCCACTGATAGCTCGATCATCCACGCGCCGCTCGTTCAGCTAAACGTTCGGCATGGATCAGCGCGACCGCAAATCGCTTACCTCTGAGGTGGACATGGAAGACTTATTGAGAAGCATGATAGCAAAATTGTTGGTACTCAGTCCGTCACAGACTAGCATATGCACATAGGAATCGCTGTGCTCAAGCGCGTCTATGGCTTCCTCCTGCGTCACGCCTAGCAACGATCGGTTGTTCACCTCCAGAATTCGAGTACCAATCGACAGACGTCCGTCCTTCGCCACTGCACCATCGTTGTATATCTTAAACAGAAACACACCATGTACTGTCTGGCACTGTAAAATTGATCACCCCTAATTATTCACTGTGTAATGCTTCTTACTATCAGGTGGCAAATGTATCATCACGTGTCTAACAGCCTATCTGCACGAACTGTTCATTCTGTGATGAACTGTGTTAACCTAGGTCATCGGAAATTACATGCCGTCAGTTGAGACTACTTAATAGATTGTTTTACTGCGCTTCAGTAACGCTACGTGGTTACTGCTCGTTTTTAAAAGACGATGCCTTTGTACTCAAGCGGGTCGAGGCACATCAATGGATCGGTGGCTTGTCATTTGGTTGCTATTCGACTGGTCCTTGGTTAGCAGGCATCCCATATCGGATCTGTATGGTACTCCACGCGCACGCGCGCGTATGCCAACGTCTCGGTCTCCTTCTGATTTCTGACGATACGCTATGAGAAAATGCAATTTCAAACGAGGGGAATTTCTTTTATCAGCACTGGAATCATTCAGCTGGTTGCCCTTTACCCAAAAAAACTGCTGATGTTCGGCGATCGCATCGCTGAAATCGGGGAGGATAGATTCAACATGAAATTGTTAATAAAGAAACGCGGATCCACCGTTAAAATGATAACTCCATTCAGGAATTCACGCTCTCCGGTCTTTCAACGATGGACCCGTGGTTCCGACGTAGTCGAATTCATCACTTTATCTGGATGTGGTATGTAAGCGACGGTGACACGGTCAAAGAGATGACCACGCTATGGTTCGACACAGAGAGAATTATCGTAAAAACCTGTAGAATCAATCGCGATGCCGAAGCTCCTACTCAATGTGGCTAAAATCTACGTTATGTCGATAAACCACAC